AGGTTGTGAAAGATTTGACTACCGGATCGCACGTCCAGTCGCGAGGCGGGCTGGGTCCGGAGTGATGTCTGGGAGTAGAAATTCGAGCCACCAACGTTGGCTGCAGCCTTGAAGGCCATTGGTTGGACCGCGCGTGGACGGGTTGAGGTTACGACAGGAAGGCCACGCGCGCTCATTTGTGCCTGGTCCCAGAGGCACGTCGTCAACAGCAGTGGGAGGCGGTGAGTCAGCGATCACGGGTTTCCACAGTGGCGCTAACACCCACTATATTACCACATAACGGCTCATAATATCTCAAACTTAGGCAGGTACTTTCTTTATGTTTCATTTCACTTGGACGCTTATTTCCTAACGATAGTATATTACACCTAGTGTCCTTTATGTTGTACAAACTACTGCAACAAGGACTGCTCTTTCTTCCCATCCCCGTGACGTAATCAATAGAGCGTCGGACTATTATCCAACAAAATGCGGATTCGAGCCTTGGGTGCCGCATCACCTGGGGTTGTGTATGGCAGGATGATGACGGTTAATAGGCCAGAAAATCAATCTCGCTTCTAAAATACGCCTTCAATGCATACCATTTATCCAGAGTTCAAACTTCCACATCGCGTCAACTCCGAAAGGAAAGGATAGTACCGATTTTCCGCCTATCGCTGCCAGCCACCCCAACGTGACTAGTTATTTCTGTACGCAGCCGGCAGGTCCCAAACCCATTTGTGGGAGCGCTGCTGGTTGCGCCAGACTAAGTCAGCAAGTACATTCTTCAAACTACACGAAGACTATCTAACAGACTATTTAAGAACTACGGTGAAACATTGAAATGCTCCCTAATGCAGATTCTAAAGGTTTTGCTGTGCAGACCGGAAGGATATTTTGACATCAGGGTTCTGCGTCTCAGCGGCCATGAAAAACATGATTTGAGCTAAATCAACTGAGGCCAATTTTGAGTCGAATACTGCATATCGCCGGACGCCGGTAATAAATGAACTCCGTCAGTAGGCTTGACCGCTGGTGTTCAGGCCAAGATGTTCTGGTAGAACAAAAAATGGTTTTCCGTTAAGTATCTAGTTTCGAGCTCATAATGTTTATGCTGAATAACTGGTAGGAATCATGTTTTGTTTTACTACTTTGGCACCGGCCGGGTTTTTAACATCGCACCCACCATGGAAATCATGAGTTACTCATGTAGGCGACAACGTTTTACTCAACACAAAGGTGCGACGCAGGCCATCCACATATTACAATGCACCTGTGGCGGTCCTACCGTCGTCCCTGCATTGACACGTTTTCTCCGCTGGCAAGCTGTGCACGGTCACTCGCGCGCTCATGGTCAATTCGATGCAGCGTCCCGTGTGACGCATTGTGCCGGCAGCCGCAACACCTTGCAGACCTGCGCGTCCCCCAATCAGCGTGATCCATTTCCTGCTTGGTTGCAGGACAGGTTAGGGGTCGCCTCCAATTCTGCGCAGAGCATAGAACACGGACATAACAACTGCTTGGTCTACTGTGAGCCGATCCCTTCTGCAGAGCCTTTTGTTAGCTTCTTTTCCTAGAGTTTACTGTCCTACCTAACTGGTCTTACTGACTTCTGACTTGGGGAACCTTCTGTAGTCAATGGTGACTGCTTTCGAAACACCCAACGCCAAAAGCGTGATTCGAGACTAATATTCATAGGTAATATTGTGTTACTCAACATGAAGGTGCGGCACAGTCCATCCACCTGTTACATTGCAACCCCACGGAAATCTTAAGGGTATATGACTAGTCCTGGCCCTTGGCAATTATGATTCCTGTTCAGTATTTGTCAGCCGGTATGGTCGGTCGGATCCTTATATCCCATTGTACATACACGTTCTCCACGAAAATGCTTAGTAACATGTAACTACTTGTCGGCATTTGAAAATAAATAGAGCGTCCTCGAAATTAGCTCTCAATGCCATTATATGTACAAATAAAAATGTGTAGCTCATTAGACTCACTTTTCCGTGGTGCTTGCGTCACCATTGCTTTCCACTGCAGGTTTCCCCAGATATGCGGCTGCTACGTGCGTCCATTAAGCCATATTCGACCACACCTATCTCCAGTGAACTTTCCACAGCAGCCTATCCCCTTTTGTTTGCTTTACGAACTAATGCGTATGCTTACATTGTGCTGCCCAGGTTAGGCTACATGGGGTCGGTGTTGGCAGAATTGTCCGGTCGCTTGTTTGGTTTATTTTCAATTATCACTATTATTCAAGGAATTGTATTATCGCAATATATTAAGGCAACTAAGATTCAACCCTAACGGCCGCGATCTTCCAGGCCCGGTTCCTTAGGAGATGAGAGAAG